GAAAAAAAAAAAAAAAAAACGATTTGTAAAATCCAATCCGCAAACATGAACAATAACATCACCACCTAAGGTATAATTATACGCGCGTCTCCATACAGTTAGTCCATGCTAGTAAGAGAGAGAGATAGAAAGAGAGAGAGCACGTACCTACTCGGTGACGTTCGAAAAAGGACAGAAAGCCGTGAGCCGTGGATTTTCTTCCGCGTGGGCGTCCAGCCTCGTCCCTCTTAGATTTTCCACGGAAAAAAGGGACAGCAACGGCTGCCTACCTTTACGGGACACGACGTAATAATATATATACACCATCGCCTCTCGTCGCTCCTTCTTTCCTCCTCTCCCTGCCATCGTCTCTTGCTGCTGATGCCCGTAATCGATGACGTCATAAGGTGTGGGTTCCGCCGCCTTGTAGAAGTCGAGCTGCTAAAGGATTGTTGCTCTGTCTTCTCTGTTCTGTTCTTTTGTTTTTACGACAAATGTCTCTATTGAGCTTGCCCTAAAAGGGATTTGTGCCAGAGACGATGGTCGGCTGAGTTTGTTCTGTCATTGGGACTATGGTGCATCATCGTTACTGTGTTTCACAATGATTAGCTGATACCTACATCATAAAATTGTTAGTGTCCTGTTACTCTTGTACGTTTTTATTACGATGAATCTAAGAGTATAAATTAGATTCTTGTAGGAAGGATAGTGCGTCTTTTTTCTTCAAAAATGTTTATTTTGAAATAAGTTCTAAGATTAATGAATAATATTAGTGTGAAATGTTTGCAAGTCGCTCTTTGTGTTATTTTTAAACGAGTAAACCAACAATTAATTGTAGAAATAAGTGCAGATAAAACCATTTTCTCTTCTTCTCCTTACAATTGATTGTTTATTATTTCAAATGTAAATAGTTTATCTTTAGTTCTAGTCAACTTTAGATTTTAATAACAATTATTAAACCCCAGCTTTATCTTGGGGGTTTTTTTTTTTTTAACAATTTGTATAATTTTATCAAACAACCTTTTATTTTTATCATTTCTCTTGTTTTAATGGCGTTAGAATCGATCACAAAACAATGGATCTCATCTAATCATTTCGATCATAAATGTCGATCATACATACAGCCTCTTGCTCTCTCTAGTGAAGGTTCCAGGAAATTTCTAGTGCCTAGTATTATATAGTGGGTAACTTACCGAATGGCTCTTATGATACAGTGTTGATAAAATTTAGATTTTTAGTACATATAATTAAGATATAATTTCAAAAATGGCGGTAAATTATCATTGAGCTCAAAAGAAATAAGTTGAGACCGTCAACTGTCGAGAAGATTTTATTCTAATCAATGATTTATAACTATGTAATTTTATGTTATTTTTAAATTGTCAAGCATGTCATCTGAATAGTTTTTTGTACTTTTTAACAATTTTTAGTTTTCATTGATTTAATATAGGTAATAATTTAACAATCTACTAGGTTTTACTGAAGGTTTACTACAATTTTAACTGTACTGACTGCCCTCTTTTGGATGTCAGTGGTAACAGCTGGTGAAAGTCCTTTTGTAACAGAGTTGAACCTGTATTATCCACATTATAAATATAGAGTAAGTAACTTGAATTCTCCCAAATGAAGTATTTTTTTTTTACATTGTATTCATTAATTATAAAAATAATGGTTATAAAGTTATATTAATAATAACAATAGTTTATTTTACTTCTACAAAATTAGTGTAATACATTAACATACTAATGTATAAAATATTAAATCAAGTGGTATAAAATAATGATTATATTATTAGTAGCACAACTTGTAAAATTGAGTAATAAGCTGAAAAAGATCAAGGTAGCGTTTTTTAAATGACACATTAGTGTAAAAAAATTACTTTAGTTAAAGAAAAACATGTGGTTATAAAAAAGGTTGCCTTTTAATAAAAATATTCATTATTTCAATTATATGTATTCTTTTTTCATATAATACAATCAAAACTATGCATGGAGTGCATAGAGATGTTTACTTTTACACTGCTTTCAAAAGAATCATCTCATACAATAATCTATTGTTTATCCTTTGCCCCATGTACTATGATAATTATTTTCTGATAAAGTTGAACTTTTTCTCTAAATCCACAGCTTCACTTGGGCCTGTTGAACCAAATCTATAATAAAAAAATTTTTGTTTATGATTATCAATAGTTGAATCACTCATGAATAATAAATTATGATTAAGCATAACAATTACTTGTACTCGATGGGTTGAACCTTTTTTCCCTCAAGTTCATGAAGTATCGGTGTAAAGATTCTCCAGGCCTCACTGAGCTCGTCACTTCGCACGAAATTTGTCTGGGAGCCATTGAATACGTCCAAAATCAATCTCTTGTAAGCACCAGGATTATCGGTACCCTGAAACAGAAAAAAAAAAAAAAAAAAAAAAAATAGTAAGTGGCACGTTAATACATTTGTATTTATGGTATAGTACACATGCGTGCACGTAATTATGTTATTGGAACAGCTTGGATGATCCGCCTCACATTGAATTCCTTTCGATAATCAAAGTCCATCAAAATGTCCTCGATTTGAGTATTAATGCCAGGAGTCTTGGACATCAACTTCAACTGCAGAGCTTCCGATTCCTTGATTCTTATAACGACTTCATTCCTCATTGTCTCATTGTTGAACAAGTTGTTATGAACGTCTTTGAACTGAACGACCACCTCAGTTTTGTTGGTATCCAAACCTTTTCGGGATACAAGTAATCACCATAGAAATCATTTCGTAAATTTTTTTACTTCACAATGTAAAGTTGGAAGAATAAATGTATAGGTGTATCACCTTTGCCGGCTCTAATGATGAATGGCACGCCTCGCCAGCGATGATTATCGATGTCGAGTACCGTAAGAGAAAAAGTTGCGGTAATGGAGTCATCGGGAACCGTCGGGTCTTGCCGATAACCGATTCTCTCTCTGGGATCGTCGGACTCGGGGTTACCGATGTACTGGCCTATGACAACTTTGCTCAACGTAACTGGCTTTATGCTCTTCAGAACGGCTTCTTTGGCGTCCCTGGATAAAGGAGTATATCAGTATAATACAGTGATAAGGGTTGCAAATTTTTATCAGTCCATTACTCATACATTATTACTAAAGGTTTGCTGTTAAAAAATTTGGTACCACCAAATATATTTTTAATTTGAGTANTAAAAACTTTGACCAAAAATTATTATTACTTGAATTTTTGTAATTATGCGCTATAGAATGTAATAGAGAATATTTTATTTCAAATGTAAATGTGATTTATATTTGTTAAAAAATAAGTATACTTAATAAATATAATTTACGATGATTTTATGATTCCTAATCCTATGATATGTAATGGTAATGTTATGCACACCTTATTTTACGTTACTAAGATATTAAATAGTTGATATGATTGTAGATTGTATAAAACAAAATTAAATTACATATAACCCAAAAAACAACGTATCTTTAGAAAGATAATTTTTTTAAATCAGTTAGCCGTCTATATTAAATGTAGGCTCTCAATGAAACATTAATTTTTATAGTTATGAAAGCTACTTATTTGAAACAATTTTACAACTCGATGTCGTTGCAATTCGTATCAAAAAAAAAAAATAATTTTAATTTTTTCAAGAGTGACGTTACGTAAATAATGCCCCCAAGTACAAAAATGTCTACCTAATGTCATTCGGGTGCACGGACTCTGGCCTCTCCATGGCAACGAGCGTCACTATCTGCATAAGGTGGTTCTGCACGACGTCCCGGATGATTCCGTTCTCATCGAAAAAGCCACCCCGGCCCTCGACCCCAAGGTTTTCCCTAAAGTCAACCTCGACGGCAGCTACGTGCTCACGGCTCCAGACAGGCTCGAGCACGCGATTGGCGAATCTGAGCGCCACCAGGTTCTGCACCATCTCGTAGCCGAGAAAATGGTCCATCCGGTAGATCTGCTCCTCCTCGAAGAGCCGAGCCAACTGCTCCGTGAGCTGCTGGGAGCTCTCCGAGTCCCTCCCGAAGGGCTTCTCGATCACGAGGCGCGTCCAACTCCCGGGGGGTCCCTTCCGTGGCAGCTGGGCCGCGGTCTCGGCAAAGCCCGAAGGTGGTATTGCCAGGTAGAACAGCCGGTTACCCCCACGGTCCTCGAGCAGCCGGGCCATGGTCTCGTAGTCGATCGTCTGGTTGCTCGAGCCACCGATGTACTCGTTGACCGACCAAAACTTCTCGTATGTAGCTTTGTCCTGGGGTCTCAGGTCAACGAAGGGCTGGACGCGCTCTCGGATGTCACTGATGGTGCGGTTGCTGCGAGCGAAGCCATAGATGCGGGTCTTGTCTGGCAAGAGGTTGTCTCGGTAGAGCTCCCACAGGGCTGGGTAGATCTCGCGCCTGGCCAAGTCCCCCTGGAAGGTGTTTTATTTTAAATTTCAATAACAAGAAAAATTTAAGGGGTGGAAAGTAAAGCCCCTATATGTTTGAAATTTTTTCAGTTGCGTTGACTCGAGTTATTTTTTGTTTTTAAATCTGGGATGGGCAAAAGCATACGAGTCTTAAAAATTAATTATTCGTGTAGCTTGTGAAAAAATATTAATTATCAATCATCAAAGTCGGCACTTACTGTAGCTCCAACAAGTACAAATGAGTAAAGCTCTTTTTCGTTAATTTTGGTCGACACATTGGAATAGTCATCCTTTGGCGGGACCACCGGCGAATTGTTGGCAATGCTCTTTTCAACTGAGAAACCTGTTTTATAAAATGTTTTCGTGTTTTTAATGATCTGTAAATTATTTTTTATTAGCACTGACCTCCACATAAATAGACGAGCGCGCGCGTGCAGGCACAGATAGATATTTTTGAAAGATTTGAGTAATATATTTTTATTGCTGTCTCGTGAAATAATATTTACACTATCTTATCACTACATTATCTACTACAGTTAATCTTTACGAGAAAACAGGACCTATATGTTACTATCTCGTGTTACTCTGTCAAGAATGGGGAGGTTAGTTATATCCTTATATTTGTCAATGAAAAGAGAGAGAGGATCTGGAAACATGTGAAAATGGATTGTGTATACAGTTCATAAATATAAGTGTTACGAGTAAGCAGACAGTTACAAGTACAGTAAATAACATTGTAAAAATTAAAATTTTTTTGCTGCGTAATCATTTTAGTCAGACTCGGGCCCAATTATTTTATGGATTTTGACACTTAATAAATAAAATAAATAAAATTCTTGTGTCTGACAGACAAGTGTAAAACATTAATACATTTTGTGGATGAAATTTGAAATAAAATATTTCAATACTTTTTTAGATGCTTTGACTACTTTTTTTTCGGCTAAAACTCATTTTCTTTCTTATTTCTATCCACTGTTTTGCTAAAAAAATTTGTTCCAAACACTGTATCAAAGGTACTAATTAAAAAAGAAACATTTTAACACAATGAATGTAATACTATTTTAGCAAAAAGTAATATTGCAAAAAAAAAAAAAATTAAAACTATCGCTGCGCCAGTATGATTTTAATGAATAAATAAAAATTGAAAATAATGAGGACTATGTCTATGTATGTGTAAACAGAATTACTGTATTACTATTTAAATAAATAAAAACACTGTTTACCAACTCCAAAGCAGCAGAGGATTAGAAGCTGTAGTCTCATCGTGGATTAGACTAGAAAAAAATGATCAAAAATGTGATTAAAAAAAAAAAATTTATTCCTCGATACGCTAATCTCCAAATCATCCCAGGAACGAGTAGAGTTTAGCGATAAAAGTAACGTATGACTTCATGTATCAAAATCATTAGACATAGGTAAAACTCTCTCACGGAACAACAAAAACTTCCTGTATCGTGTACAGTAACAAAGACAATTAAAATTCCACAAATTTAATTACGTATTATGACGGAACGAAATAAGTACACGACTTAATTGCGTGCAAAGAAAAAGAAAGAAAAAACAAGAAAACTCAACACTGTATGCAAAAAACTGTACTCGCCAACAAAAATTGAAGTTATCGGGATGAAAGCCCGCGGACCAATGCCGTGCGACCGGCGAGTACCATCGTTTTAAGTTAGCGCAACGCGGCGAAGCCTCACGACCTTGAGACTCAGAGATACGAAATGATGTGTAATAAAAATTACAGGTATGGCGTAACAGTTAGCAGCACTCACCGTGCGTCTGTAGTTCCTCAGGGACGGTCACTGTGATAAGTCTATTCGCGAGAGTTTGCGTTGTGTTTCCCGTATCGTTGAGTCACTGCTTCTTTTTTCTTGATTTTTTTTACAACTTTCTTGCGACTGATTAATAAATTCATCAATATAGCAATTTTAATCGGTTATTTATGTATTATTTTGGTATAGGAATTTTGATAAATTGAACCGTAATATTTATTAGTCCGAATAATGATTGGTTCGTCAGCTGATAAGTGAATATACCAATCGATTAAAATCTTCAAACATGTTTAATCTCGAAAAGTGATCATGAAATGTCGATAAATATAACTAAGCCGTGGGACAGAAATAAACGTTTTGCATTGGGTAATTTATTGATTCTATAGGTATTTTGAAAACGAAGCAAAGTTTATTTGATTCTCGTTTCACACAATTCGTTAATGATTTTTCGAGGATGATCTTTATTACATAAAATCCACAAGCTATTTTGTTACATTCGATATTGTATTGTTTGGTGCAATTTCCTATGGACTTGATTATTGGTCGTTTATGATTATTCATATATATGTGACTGATGTTACAAATGAATTCATTTCCATCCGATCGGTGGGAGTTCAGTAAATGAAACGCAACGCAAAATAATCAAAATGGTCTGGCGTTGGTTTTAGTGAATAAAAAACAACTACGCGCATCCAACAGTTGCGCAATGGCTTTCCAATCGAAGAGCATACAGTCATCGATACAGTTTCATTGTCTCATTGTATAAAAATCAGTTAAAATAAATCAGTTGTTTCATGATTTTAAAAAAATGCAAATTATAATTCACCTCTTCAAATGGGCCTTACAAGTAGCAATTTATACAAGTAAAATAAGTAAGTAAGATCCACATGACAATAAAGACTAAAAACTATGTACGATGACGCGCGCCCGGCAGATCGATTCACACAATCGCCCGCCAACTCCCCGTAAAACATACAACTTTCTTCAATAAATAATCGTTTATTAAATATACAAAATTACAATCTAACGCGTGGTGCGTGTATAAAAAAAAAAAAAAAAAAAAAAACAGTTCTCCCACGCGCTCATCGATCATCTTGGTCGGCGCTCCACAACAAGTTCAACAACAAAAGAAAACCCTCCGGACCGTGGTTTAGTAGTTCGTAGCGAGGTTCGAGCTACCGGAGCTCGAGGAGGAGGACGAGGCCGAGGGGGCGCCGTACGAGTTCGAGGTTCCAGCACCCGAGTAGTAGTTGTAGGCGAGATTCTGAGCCTCGGCGCCGCTGGTGGGGGTCCAGACGCGCGAGTACGGCCCATTGCCGTCCCACGTGTTGACCGGCTCGTAGCCCGAGGTCGTGCTCGAAACCGGTGGGGCCCCGTACACGGGGCTCGGGTCCATCGTCATGCCTATAGGAAAGAAAATCCGAGTCTTACTTCCGATTCGTTGCCATTCGATGGAATTTCACGCAAAAATCGTAAAAAACGTACCCATGGGTGGAGTCATCCCTCCCTTTTTGAAGAACTGCACGGCGATGAATCCCAGGACCAGCAGGATGGCCAGTTTGGAGAGCACGAGGGCCTTCAAGGCCTTGAAGCCGATCATGGCCACGAAGATCGGCATGAGGGCCTTGAGCTTGAGCTTGAGCAGCAGCAGGAAGGGCAGGAGGATCTTTTTCTTGAGCAAACCACGGGCCTGGACGGTGGCCACCTCATCGTTGCCGAACTCGACGTCGAGGTTCAAGAGGCTCCTGGCTGGCCGGTACTTGAGCCTTGCATCGATAAGGGGCACGTCCAGCCCGTACTCGAAGCTCTTGAGGTACTTGAAGGTCCGCGCCACCAGGGCCTCGTCCACGCTCTCCAGCGATCTGGCCTCGGTCGAGGTGCCCAGCTTTTCGTCCAGGTAGCCGAGCACCTCGTGCTTCAGGCACGATGACCACGAGTCCGCGCCGATGCACTCGTTGAGCGACTTGCTCAGCAGATCCTCGGCTAGGGCCGCTGGGCCGAGGAGCCCGATTATACCGATCACAACTACGATCGAGCGCATTGTCGCTGATTTTTTATTATTACTATTGTTGTCCTTTAGCCTGTTGGGTATTTTTTTTTTTTTTTTTTTTCAATCAAGTTGGACGTGTCGATCGATAGTTGGCTTGTCACTCGAAGAGTCCGCCGATGCGCGGAGTCACTTGGTGCACAATCGGCGATCGAACTGCGACTGTCGGAGGAGTGGCTCGCCCCTTTTATTTAATCTGCCCCTCGTCGGTCTCCTACCACGCGGCTCTTCCACCTCCTCTTTGGCGGAAGCTCCGCAAGCACACCTATGCGAGCAGTCGTGGGCCCTGCGACACCATCGGGGACCGCCCGAAAAATCTATGTTATTCGGTCGCGCATGCCTCGAATGGCCGATCGAAGGAAAATTGTATTTAAATTTCACTCGCGCTGGAGCGGTGGGCCCGTCCGTGCTACCATGCACTGGTCGCAGCCCGTATATGAACGCGCGCGAGCGCCCGGCAAACGGAACTGACTCTCGTTTCGTATGGACAATGTGTGCCTGATGGGTAAGTATCTTCCTTTTCGTTCATGCCTGTACTTACGGCTTTTAATTACCGGTGTTGGTGCAAATTTTACAAGCCTCGATGTTTTGCTTCGGGGAGCTTTTTTTTGTATTTACGAGCTTTTCCTGTTCCGTTGCGTGTTTGGGATTCCACTGTCAAGTTGGATCGGCAAGCGTTGTACGTGTACACCGATACTTTGTGTATTAATCAACGAGTGCGTTATGCGTTTGTTTGGTTTTTTTATTTTTCAAACGAACTGATTGGGTTGGTGTGTTTTTACACGTCAGCCAAGTGTGCGTCAATAATATTTTTGAGCCAAAGGTGCGTTACGCAAGTATAATGTGGCAAAGTGGCCATGTTCACTACTAAGACTGTGTATCATACACTTTTTCAACCTAACAAAGTGTTTTTAAATAACTATTTCATTTATATTTTCAATATATTGAATTTTGCTTGAGGTGGGTAGAAATGATTTAAATCATGAATATGAGTGCAAAAAACTCTTGAAAAAACAATTCATTTATTGTATTAGTTCTGCACAAAATCAAAAATGACATGAAAAATTCCATGGAATATGTGTTAATTTATTATATACATATATATTTATGGACTTTTTAAGAATGAGAAGAAAACTCTTTGAAATAATTATACATCATCTTTTAATATGAAGGCTTCATTATATCTCTTTCTTAAATTGAACAAAAAAAAAATTTTTTTTATAACAATACCACAGTGATAGTTTTACCATTGTATTAAATATGCTTTTGCAAAAAAATATTGCTGTCCACTTTTGCACCCCTTCTTTATTTTAAATTTATATTGAAAGTACATATTACTCAAAATGAAGGTGAGATAAAAAAATGTAGTATCGTACAGAGTCACTGACCTATTCAAATAGTTACTACGGATTATATTTTCTGTCATTTACGAGCACTAAAAAAGCCCTCTTCTCGAGTGGTTCTAAACTGAGTCCATATAAGGAGGATCGAACTCAGTGTCACTAGAGTACAGTCCTGGTTTACTGCCATTCGACCTACACAAAGGATATTTAGGAGGATTGTCTTAGTTATAAATGTATTTCGTCATATTTTTAATCACACGTAACACTTATATAATTTGTTGTTAAACTTTTTAAGCATCAATTCAATAATTTTTGTTGATAAACGAAAGATGTTCATATTCAATACATTATAAGTAATTATTCAATAATTTGTTGAAAAAATTATTGTTATCAACCAACTATACAAAGGAACTCAACACTACAGTACTGAGCTACAGTTGAAGTTGACGGTATACTTTGTAACTTGCCCACGGTATGCTTATTATAAGAAGAATTTACGCTGCATAAGCTTTTGTACAGCGTAGATTCATTTGCCTTTTGCTTTGGTATGCCTACCAAAACACTTTATAATCGTACCATAAAAAAGTGTGGAGTGTCTCGAAGTGAAGTACAAAACTGTTAATTGAACCGATGTTGGGTTGATTAATTAAGTAACGTGATTTATTTATATAAATTATTTGGAAGCACAAAGGATATCATTTGATAGCACCACTGGCTTGTTAAAATACTGAAAATTTGTTAATCTAATTTACAAAATTTAGCATGTTACATGCAACATGTTTTTCATTATAGTGTCTTCTCCACTAACTAAACACATTTACATTTGCTACGTAAGAGTTAAACTTTATTTGATGTAAATTATACACGAAATTCATAAAAGATGTAAATCAGGATCTTACACGACTTTAAGAATTCAACAACTACAGCAATAATCGGTGGTAAAAATAGTGAAGATGGCCGAGACCTCGAATTGTCCAGTAATTGTAGCGGGGCTCAAGAATCACCCAAATTTCAATACACGTGTTGTAAACCAGTGCTAACTGAACGAGTAAATTGACTAAAAAAAAAAAACTTTTATGATTGATGAATGTAGCTTGGACATGAGGCATCCACTGCTGTACAACTTTTTTTCTATTTTCTTAACATACATGATCACATAAAAAAAAGTAAATGTTTAATTCAATTTTTAAAATTTGTAATTTGTTTTAGTCAACTACTACTTAACGATTAAAACAATTTTGTAAGTAATAATGTAAAATTTAAAAAAATTATCCCAGATACATTCACTAAACAGGAAATAATAAAATAACCAGTTAGTTTTCGTATGGTTTAATGTTTTTTACTTATGAGATAAATAACATCTTTGTAAAAAAAAAAAAAAAATCAAAGTAAGCATTTACTATGATTATTTTTCTCAATTAATACTTTTTCTAAAAATCCCAAAAAAATAATTTTATTGATCATAGAAAAGTATACCCTGCACTAAAAGTATCGATATTCCATTCAGTATACAACAATCTGCGATTCATCGCAAGTGGAATTAAGGAGAGGGTAGAAAATCTTTAAATGAACGAAAATTCCGTTGCATTGAGTAATTTATTAAATAGTCGTACAAAAAGGAAATAGTTCGCACACATTGCCAGCGAGAGAGGAGAGTTTGAAGAAAATATATTACAAAAGTTGAGCAGCAGCGCCAAGCGACGCTCCCACCAAGGCTAGATAGTTCACCCCAAAATAAATAAGTACATCTAAGGTATCCAGCCAGCAGGTCAAGCCTCAGCGTAAGCCGAGTACGCGAGATTCTGCGCAGCAACGGCAGCCGTGGCGGATTCGGGCGCCTCCTGGAAGGACCTGTACTGGGCAGCTTGGTACTCCCAAGGCCCGTGGGCGGCGATTGGCGCGGCGTGGCTGTCGGCAGCGATCTTCTTGCAGAGCTGGAATATGGCCAGTCCAACCGAGACGACGAAGGAGAAGAACGACAGCTGCAGGGCGTTCCAGGCCTTCAGCCCAAGGACACCAATCGCCAGGGGGATGAGGGTCATGGCCTTCAACAGGACGAACACGAGGATGGGGATGATGACTTTCTTGAGCTTGGACTTGCGGGCTTCTACGTTGCGGCCCTCGCCGTACTTGAAGCTGAAGCTGAGCTCATCGTCGTCGATGTTGCGCGACGAGACCTTGATCGAGGATTCAAACGGCAGCTTGAAGGTCACGTCGTGAGAGGTCAGGTAGCCACGGACCGTCTCGAGGAGGGAGCCCTCACCACCGAGGCTGCGACCAGACAGCTCGTCGACTGGGTACGAGTTGCGGGTGACCTCGACAGTCTCCGACACCTGTTGTATTGGTTTTCGGGATTAGTTGTATTTATTGTGACGGTTCAAGGATACTGACATTAAAAACTATTTACATAATGAAACAAGATTTTGTTTCAAGGAACAGAATTGCAACGACTCCGGATGGATTCATCCATATAACTTTAATCAAATTTAATTTCAAGAATAGAGATTGAGATGTTTCTATGAAGAATCATGGATTAGAGGATGGGAAAAAAAGATATTGGCACTCACCTTGAAACTGTCCTTGCGGAAGAGATGGTCGAGCAGGTTGAGGACCTTGAACTTCATGCAGGAGATCTCGTCGTTGCTCTGAGCGCACTCGAGCTTGGTCTGCTCGACCATGGCGTCCATGCTCGTGCCCTTCCAGAACTCGTTTTTGGCAGGTTGGGCAGCCGCGAGTGCCACCACCGCGACGCACAGAACGACGATTCTCGACATAGAAATCATCTTAAAGTTTGGGTGTTGAATGTAGATGCAATAGTTCCGATCGTGTGCGAACGAGTGTGAACACGATGATTGCGGTTCGGCGACTGTTGCCGATTGGGTTGGGCCCCGGCCTATTTATACGGACTCTGGGGACGATTCGCTGGGTGGGGAGGACAGTGCACTATCATCGTCGCCGGTGCAGAAGCTCTCACCAAAAAGCACTCGCGAGCTTGCCTGGTTCCCCCACCTTGTTATTGTCCACTAGGTACTGTCTACCTGCAGGTACATACGTATGCAAGGAAGAACCTATACCGCTGCTCGGCGATGCCACGAATTTTCTTTTCGTTCGCATTGCTGAACGCGTGCAACTATATAAGTTCGATCATATTGAGGACTCTCGTGCCGAGACGGACGTGACTCGGGTGCGAAATTGCCGATCGCCATCGGATCGCGGGGGAAAAGTGCCTTCTGTTTCCATACTTCTTCTTCTTCTTCTACTTTTCGTTTTTGACGGTATTTGGGTGAGAAGGCATTTCTGGGTCTCAAGGCACGTGCCAGCGTGTCTCTACTAGTGTTTACTATTTGTGATTGTTCGTGGTATAGGCCATATTCTATTATCTTGTTCTAGTCCATGTGGTTGCTTTGCTGTGCACTTTCGATTTTGATTGAGGAAAAAGCATAGAGATTTCAAGTACGTCCTTCAATCATTGAATTTATTAGAAGAGAATTTTTTTATCCACAGGGGAGGATAGGACTTGCTTATTCCTCTTTGGTATTAGAGTAGGAAAGTGTAAATGACAAACTGCAAGATAATTCTGCATGTGCGGATGTTTAATATTGTGTACTCCATCCATTAAGTTTGAAGAAGCAATGAACCATACTTGAGACGAGTACATTGAATATACAATCAAGAAACTGTTTTTCATGTCATAAATCTCGATGTTTCCTGTAATACCATAAAATATGATACAGTAAAAAATTTGACAAAAGCTCCAACCCTCTTTATAATGCGCGACGAGTAAACTGCTCGGGATGATTTCCCTTCTACCTATCCCTTTGGAATACAAAACAATTTCCAATTGACACTAAATTGGTTCTCTCAAACCAGTCGACACACGCAAATCACTTTCACTCGTTAAAACCAACCAGCGTGTGGGTAGCTGACATTAAGGATCTTCTCTTTGGAAAGGTCACACGTGCCACGTTTGGGTGATGGCATCCAATTTTCACCATAGAGATGTCCAAGAAATCGATTTCACTCTGATAACTAATAAGTCTGTACTTTGATTATTTGGAATAGTACCCTTGTCGACTGCTGATGCAGTTGTGCACTACCTGTGGGGTGTTTCAAGATCATCTGCGATCATTGTTTAAGTAAAGGTAGGTTGGTAACGTAATCAAGTTTTCTCAAATGACAACGAAGAATAGTATAGAAGTAGAAACAACGTTAACAGTTCAGAGGAGTCCATCAGGAAGGATTTGTGTAACGATTTACAGTTAAAAACGGTGAGCGCAGTAGTCCGACTTCCGACGCAGAATTTCCACGTGCGTTAATCAAAACGGACGGCCTTCATCGCGTACCACATGATACTCCACTTTCATCAGATGGTGACTTTGACGAGGTGAGAATTTGGTGCATTTTATTCAAACGAAATTCATACCGACTACGTATATGCTAAACGTCTCCGTTTTAAATTACTTTCACACGTATATAGAGTCAAGCTCACGTGTAGACATCCTCCTGATCGAAGATACTTAATATACAAGACATCCAGGGTAGCTTATAAAGGCAAGTCAGTGCGAGAGTATTTATTAAGACATTTTTTAGCGTAGCCAACCCACTTCAATTGGTAGAAATTAGCCACGGGCTGGCGTTCCAATTTGCAGCTTCTATTTAGTACGCAGCTGAGGCTGCCCGACTTGTATATCGTATACACTTTGGGTGCTTCTCGATATACTCGACGAGCAACGACGACGGTGCAATACCGTCTGGCCCGAATGAGGATATTGACTTTTTCTTGACACTATTCTGCATTTAAAGGGATTTGGATTTCATTAGAGATCAGAGTAGTATTAGAATCTACGAATACTCTGACTGATTGAGAGGTCCCTTTGCACTTTGGTTCTCATTTTTTATATAATTGATTGAAAGTGCTAATGATGATGTAGTTTGCAAAAAGCTTAGTAGAACAGATTTCGTTAAAATAAATATTTAGTATATCAAAACACAGCAAAACTCAAACGAATTTAATAGATCGGATGCTACAGATATATGAACTTGTAATCTATGAGTGATACAATAGGATCAAGTCTTTGATCTAAGTCATATTTTATGTACATTTGATAAATAAGAAACAGGGAGCAGTCGAGCCTGTGCGTACGATAATGGTACTAATAACGACTTTAAAATAGTGAATCATTCATATATCTCTATATTTTTGCAACAATACGAAATCACTACGTAGTACTACTGACCATAAAAAGTTATTAGTTTGTCAAATAATTAATTTTACCGAAAAATTTATAAATCATGAGTTGGAAAATACAACAAACTCATTAATATTGATCATTGCATTGTTAATATTTCACAACAGTCAAACTGGCTCAGAAAACTAGTCCACTCGGCCTAATAGATGCCACACTCGTCATACAAAAACGGTAGGTGGCTTCATTAGCACCTCGCAATTCTTATGCGAGCCATACGGTTCGCCCAACAGTACTCGCCCACCAGCCTCTTAAAATGTCCCATTAATCACACATATACCAACATATACAGACACCCATCAAATATACCGACAACAAGTACTTGTAACACCCAAATAATACCCATATAATATACGTGAGTGTATCCCTCGCCCTTATCGTGGATTCGCGGCACGTGTACTCCTCGCGCGACTTTCTTTTCCTACCTCCTTCGTGTCCCATCACCAACTATCCGGCACACTTTGCTCCCAGCCTGATTTCGCCATCACCTCAACGGGAGAAAAGCCGAAATCTACAACGATTCCAACAGAGACACTGCGGGAATTGAAATTCCTGGGCCATTGTTGTCATGCGTCCCGTGTACGGGCATCTTTCGCTCTCTCTTCTTCCGATAGTCTCTATTTTACATTCTCAATCGGCTGTGATTTGAATTTTTTGGGTCAGGCTTCATTTGCAAGCACAGGAATCCGGGACGAGACGTACGAGGGGACTCCTCCATTGATGCTCTCAATTTCCCTTGAGATCTTCTGGATAGGGGGTAGCTTTTGCTCTTTAATGCTTTTCGATTCATTTAAAGTGAATGTTTTGTTTTTCCAACCGAAAACTTTTATCAGCAAACGTGAAATATACAAACTCGAGTGACGTTTTACTTTCATGGACACAAGGAGACTTTACAACTTTCTTTTTCAACACTGTCAAAAAAAGGAGGAGAAAAGGGGAAAAATGAACAAGTGACAATTTCCATAAAAAAACCAGCTCATCGCATCTTTTATTGCAAAACACATGACAATGAAACAAAAAAATATTGTTGGCTCGCGCAAATAAATAAATAAATAGTATGAATGAACGCCCTTAACATCATTAGCCTTATAGTCTACGCCACTGTGAAACGGGGCCCTACTTCCTATACGCCCTGTAGGGTCCGTGGGCAGCAGCCACGGGCGCGTCCCAGTGGGGCGGGTGCTCGACGGGTGGGTGTCCAAAGTGGACGACCTCGTAGGCGACCTTGGGCTTGGTCAGCTTGAAGATGAGCATGGCCCCACTGAGCACCAGCGAGAGCAGACCGAGAGTCAATGCCTTCCAGGTTTTGAGGGCGATGAGCGCCAAAGCGAGGGGCACCAGGGCCGTGGCCTTGAACTTCAGCCCCAGGAGGAACGGGATCATGACTTTCTTGACGAAGCCTCGACCTGCTTGGGAATTCAACATTAGTTTACCCTTCGGACACGTATGGGACCGGATAAGCGGCTCGACTCACCGTTCCCATTGGGCGCGTCGCTGAGGGCCACGCTCACGCTGGCGGGCACCGAGTCGATGAGCGACCGGGGCACGATGCTCGAGCCGGCTATCTCCTCGGGCAGCCTAGCTTCGAGGACATGGCTGGCGAGGTAGTTGTCGAGCTTCTCGAGCATCAGAGAGCGCAGCTGTTCCCGCCTGTTGGGGTCCACGGTGTCCTGGGCCGAGAGGTACTCGTCGAACTCGCTGTCCTCGGGAACGCTGCGTGACCGCACGATCGACAGATCGGCAGTGATCGGCAATCGCTCCTGCTGCATGGCGTCGCTTAAGTACTTGAGGACTTTGGGTTTGGCGCACGACAGCATCGACTCGTCGTTCGCGCACCTGAAATTCATCACGGGGAGAGTTAGCGATTGAGTCGTTCGGAGGCAGAATACCGATCTCGGGCCGTGGTTCACCTGTAGTAGATGCTCCTGAGGACGTCCACGGTCGTCCGAGTGCCAGCGACGTCGACGGTGGCGCTACAGGTTGCGAGCACGGCCAGCAGGACGGCGATTGTGGGCCTCATGATTGAAGCTTTGATTAGGATCCAGGGGAGATCGGAGCACACAGCACAAGCACACACCTGCCGATCGATCGATTCGCGGAGCTAAACGCCGAATGACTTTGCGAGGTGGGACCAGCCAGGCTTTATAGCTAGGCTTGGAAGCTTCGACACCACGGTATACGTCCCCTGAATGTATAATGCGCTCGGGGGGTAGGGGGGACAGAGTATGTTTGTTGTACGCGAAGAAAGAGAGAGAGAGAGAGAGAGACAGAGAGAGAGAAAGAAGAAAGCCGTGTACGCAAGTTTGTAATGTAGGGTATAAGTACTGTATACTTACGAAGTGAGGATGAAACGCGAGCACATGAACACTGGTGTGAGGAGGAACGGATTTTCGTTTTCGTCGATGTTAATGGTAACGCCACTTCCGCTATAGATTTTCTCTCTGTCTCTTTTGGGTCATCGATATGCGAGTCCGCGAGGAGGTAGTGAATTATTCTGAGTTTTTGGTCGAACTTTTGGTGTAGCGTGTGATGGAAGCGCAAGTGTCGGTGAAATGGTGCTTATACTTGCGTAAAGTGAAAGTAAGTACCCACTATACGGGGTAATTTTGAGCGACTTGCAGAAAAGTGAGCTTTAAGCAAACTTGTTATTTAATATGTGACTGAGCATTGGCGTTGAGTCAAATAGTTTAACTTAGGAAATTCTTACCACTTGCTTATTGCCTGTACTAGAAAATACGGGTAGTACTTATTAATCGGACTTTACAGAAATTGCCTGCTGGGATAGTCCAGTTGGTAAGGCATAGCTCTTGCATCTGATTGTCTTCAAATTGAGATACGTTCAACTATTTCATGAGACGTGACGAGATTGCCAGGTTTAATGACTAAAATTAAACAAAGATACTGTAAATGAATAGTTGGATTGTAAAGAACTATAATTATTTTTCTTACTATTTTTTAATATTGTGTTAGAGAAAAAAATCTTGCATTAAAAGTCCAATACAAGTGCACATGATTAAACATAGTATTACATGAAATTTTAAGTTAATTTTTTTACACAACAATAATTATTTTACGAATTGGGTTTTATTAAGAAAACCTTAAATTTTACAATAGCAGGTAGAAACAAATTTCAGCTACAATGTGTTACTGAATCTAGTAGAATGTAGTACTTGTAATGGTTGGAAAAATTTCAGTGTTTTAAATCTTGTTAGATTTTTTTATTGCATAACTTTTAGTGGCATACATAATAGCATACTTGACACAAATTGAAATGGCTACTACATCATTGTCATTAATAACAATAATTGGTAGCAAACATCATTTTCACATTTTACTCGGAGTACACTGTGCATTTTTCCATAAAAATAAAAATAATTTGCTGGTGAAATGTATGTAGAAGTAGAAAGGCTGGCATATTTTCCTTTTTTATTAAGTACATGGGTCATTTTATGAAAACTGGTATATTACGAAGGCTGAACTTGACGAAAACTGATAAACGATGTAATTGAAAAAAAAGTTTTTTTTGATTGTTTGTGACCCACTGGAGCTACTCTTGAAAGAATTTTCCGATAATATTGTAATGGGTACCGTGTGGGCTCTGAGGAAAATCATGATGAAATCGAAATTTCGTTGCATTGAATGAAAATTAGACATTCAAGCAAAAAATATAAATTTCCAAGTTCTTAGCACACACTGGCTAATAGTGACGAGAAAACTTTAAAAAACTTTGTAATTCACTCAGCCTCCGAAAAATACAAAACATTCAAATTGGAGTATCTAAATGCGATAGTACGTACGGGCCGTCTGTACCGCCATTTCAACTACTATTTTTCATTGAAAACAAAAGCACCAATTTAAAATAATTGATTTTTATTGTAACATTAGCAGAAAAACACTGGTGCCTAAAAAATTTTTTTTCAATCAAATCCCTATAAATAGTGTTCTTATGGACAGGGAAATGAAAAACTTCGGTTGTTGTAAAATTACCTGCCTATACTGTAAAATATACAGAAAAATCTCAAAAACGGTAATACATTTGGCAATAAATTTAATGTTCGTAATTCATAAAAATCATCATTATTTGGCATACAAATGTGCTGTTTCAAAATATGTTATATTAATGAAATAGACTTCACCATTCACTATATCACTTGGCATGCCATATATGCAAATTGCTTCGTAGTCTCTTCTGGGAAATTTTTTATGTCACATAATAACTAACACTAAATCAGTTTTTTCTTGTTTTTAATTTTTATTTTCTTATTACTTGAAACCTATTTATAAAAGTGCTTTGTAATGAGATAAGGAAAATGCAATATCTCAATGTCCAATCTACATCATTTGGGTAATGTATAGATGAATATTTTATAAAATTTTGATAAAATAACATAAATATAATTCATTTTATATGAAGCAGAATGAAAATAAAATCCAACTAATTTTAAAAATAAATTTTTCAATTATATTCTATCCATTTTTAATTAAAATATAACTAACTACTTTTTACGATCGATATTACAGGGCTCGGGTAGATATTTTTTGGTGGTTATACCAGTCTCTGCATTCGTAACATTACTTACCATTAGAGGTGTAAAGGAAATAAGAAAAGTTACCAATCACTTCGTAAAAACATATTGGTTATGTCGATTCAAACTTTATACAAATGAAAGAAAAAATTACTATTTTCAGTTTCGTACTACCTACTACAGAAAAATAAAAAACTTTTTAAAGAAAATGTTTTGTATACGATATTTTATAAAAGCTATTTTTATAAGGTTTTATCCATTAAAAAGGAATTTTAAATTCAGCTTACGACTTTTTGCGAATTTTTTATTTTATTTTTATTAATGGATATTGATTTACTGTTCATAAATATTATCTTTTTTAGTTATTGAATTAAAAAAAAATCTATGTAATCAATGCCATTTTATTATTAAATCAATAACAACATTTTTCTTAATCCACTTTATTATACACAATTGACAACACACTAATATATAACAATGAACAATGCTTGCAAAGTGATAATAATAATAATGCCTTTATCCGAAAGCATTTCATTTTTCTCTTTTGTATCGTGGACAACTTAATGTCCAAGTTTAGAGAAATGGGAATGGCACCCAGAAACTTTTCATTACAAAACGAAATTAACGTTACATTTAAATCTGATATTCTTACTAATTTTATACACTATTTTCACTTTCACAATGTACTATTACTAAGTTTAAAAAACAGTTGAACACCTAAAAGAAAATAAATTAAGACATGTATAAATAAATTTTAAAGATAATCGTTAATTTCTAATCCATAAAATTTAATATTATTTTAAACCTACTCTGGTATAAATATACTAAAGTTTATTGTTTTTTTTTTTTTAGACTAAAAATAAATAAAATCAACTCATATTTTTGGGTTTCTCAAAAAAATATGAATTTACTTTCTTGTTTGACAGAGAGGTTGAGAATAATAAATATCTGATCGATTGTGAATCGATGCTAAAAGTTTGAAAAAATATATCCTTGCTTATTCTCATCGCAACAGTAATCCCCGATAGTCTAAAATTCGTCATCAATTAATCTCTCGAGGAGCTGAAAATTCAACATACAATAAATTAATATATTCAGTAGTCCGCGAAATGTACACGATATCGAGAGACATTGAACGAATCTTAGACACGTAAAAGAATGTCCTGAACATATCCTTTTAAGGCGGGGTGAGGCTATACATGAAACTAGTTTTTAAGAAAAAACAGTTTCAGCCGTCGTGATATTTTTTTTTAAATCTTCAGTCCGGTAACAAAGTACAATGCCGTCGATCATTCCGTGTTGATGCTACAGTAAAATGCTCGCAAACAGTCACCACCGTCCTGGCCTATTTGCGCTGCGTTGAAATATCGATGGAATCGCTGACTGCTGAGGGATGTTACATTTTCACGCAACTCTTGCGGATCCCTGAAAAATAAAATAATATTAGTAGGAAATTTTGGGAGATTGTTGACTGTCATACTTAAGTTGGTACACGTAATTATCGTAACAAAATGTCACTTTGTTCACGAAGGGGCAAGTTTTTTTCCATTGTTAAGGATACTGTATTGCAGTCGATTGTGTACTCTATTTTTACTCTAAGTACTTTCGTGACAACACATTATTATTTCATTAAGTGCTGTTACAAATAAAAAATCCAATCTGGTTTATTTAAATCATATTAATCTTATTTCAGTAGCTGTTTTATTAAATTAAAAGGTGTTAATTTTTTGTTGAAAATTTTAACGAGAAACGTGTCCTTTGCAATATCAGTAGGACTTTCATTGACCTTTAATTTTTTCAACTCTTAACAATTCATGAAAAAAAAACAGCATCATCACGCTATTCCCCCGCACGACTGGCTCTTCCACCGAAACCCGGAACCCATTTGCCATCACAATAGCTACGTTTTCTCCCATCTAGCTCTCCAGTCGTGGTGAAATTGCATCGTCTTTTTGTTTTTCCCAGCAAAGTGTATATATTCCACTCACCCAAGCATCCCAAAGGGGGTAATGGCGCGTAATTGAAAAAAAAGCGAGAGGAGCGCGCGGCGTTGGCCGATCGATCAAACAACCAACTCAGAACGACCGGGAGACGTGCGGACGGACGGAATCCGAGAGCAAAGTGCTCGCTTGATGACCCAATTGGGCAATGAGCTCGCACCGTTTCGAAGGAGTTGCTCCACGAGCTGGTACATGAGTGCCCGAGTCGCGCGTAAGCGCATTATGTGTGGGCACACACGCCTTTCTCCGTCGCGCCGGCCGCGATCTTGATCCAGAAATCTAGAATTTCCGCCGGAAAATACAGGCGTGGTCGGCTTGTTTCTTTTTTTTTTTTTTTTTTTTTTTTTTTCGAGTTCATTGGCTTTTCGGGAGATAATAAAGCTCGATGACGCGGTGGGTGAGAAAAATAAACGGCGCTTCGTTCGGCATGTGTGGCTCCTTTTCTTCGCGTTTGCACACTTTTCGACACCGCACTAAAAAAGAAAGTTCAGCGAGTGTGTGAACGACGCGTGTATGCATTTCTTTTTCACCCACGAAGGCGTCGTGAGAACTCAAAGATTGGAAAACCTGTTTCTCGCTTTTTTTTCCCCATCCCGAAAGTACAAGTCGTTGGACTGATTTTCCCAGTCGAAAGTTTAGCAGTGCGAATTTTCACCAGTGTGCTTTTTTCACTACGTCCAAGTAAGAGATTATGCAAGACTCATGCCACGATAATCTTTTGTTTATTTTTTAAAGATATTGTTGTCTACAGATTTCTTTGGATTTTTAATACAATACGCTATTTTATAGGTTTTTTATTTTTATTTTAAACGAGTTGGGAAAATTTTTATTTATTTCACGCGATGATAAAAGGAAGCGTGTTATTTAACTGATTTATAATAATAGATGCACCTGCACCGTTTACAAATATATTGTATTTGAATTTTTATCCTCATTAAAATCATAATATTTGTAGGTAACAACAAAAAATAAGAACAATAAATTAAAAATGATAATGGATACGATATAAAAAATATACGCAATATTTATAAATCTATAAATAAAAGATTAATTTAAAAAGTTCAAATAAAAAAAAAAAAAGTCTTATGAACGCAATATCTCTGAGTTTAAAAGATAATCATCAAGATTAAAAGCGTACAATACACACCTAGATAGCTCGTTCGAGACGATGTTGCTGTGCGGCGCGTAGAGCGCTGGATTCTTGTACATGCTGCAGACGAGCCTCTCGCGACAGCTCTCTTCGGAGAACCTCAGTTGATTGAAGATCTCGTCTAGCCTCTCGACAATTGGCCCGTAAAACTCGTCGTCGTACTGTTTGCTCTTCTGTGGCACCGTTACCAGCGCTTCAAAGGTTCAACATAATTAATGAGTATTGGTCTTCAATTTAATTCGTTTTGCTTACAGGCTATTTAATAAACGTGTGTTACTCAGACAGTGAAGCGATTAAGATCAATCCATAAAAATATGTGGAGCCTTATTTTTTTAAATGATTTGTGAAGTTAAATGCCAAAACATCAATGTGATTCGTAATAAAATAAATGGCGTTTAAGTATCATTTTTTTGTTCAATTGACGAGATGCATGTGTAAATTTTTACCTAAACAGTTGGATTGATCCATATTAATCAATTAAAAGTCATAGCGACGGAAATTTTTTTTTATTTGTAATTTGTTAAAATTTAGATACAGAACTGAGAAAATTGCACTACACTTTCGATACGGTTAATATTTTTATTATTCCCTTACGATCAGACTTTCAGAAATTGTCCAAGTCGTAGAATTAGCCTTCAGTTTGATAGCATGCATCATCGCAAATGTGAAAAAGAACACAAATACGCTCCTCTTTTGTACAAATATATTCAAAATTGATTCGATCGATAAATTTTACATGAAATTTTAAGCCTTAATCTCTCGAGAGAGATTGTATTGGATCATAATTTTACCTTCAGAAAAATGAAATCCATCCAATTACAATTTAAAATTGAAGCAAGGCCTAACAATGCTTGCTCAATTGAAATGAGACTTAATACTGCCTGATTCTTTATGAAATTCGAACGTATCCATAATCATTTTAACATCATTTCACAATCTGTAGAGACAAAAAAAAAAAATTCCGTATCCAGAACCTCACAATACTTCTGCAAAAAAGTAACCCTCACCTGCATTCGCCGAGCTGGCCGAGTGTTGCAGTTGGGGGTTGTGCCCCGGCCTCGATTGCTGCTGCTGTTGTGGAAAACCTCCGAAAACCTGTTGCTGTTTGTTGACCTGCATCGCGGGTGGTTTCTGTGGTCCGAAAAACGGAGCCTCGACAACCCCCGGTGGCAGCGGGGTAGGGGGTGGCCTGATACCAGTGGACCTTGGTGGGGACGATGGCGCGTAAGCCGAGTAAGCCAAGGAGTGCGAGGCTGAGTTAGGAAGTGGTGGCACCTTGTCGACGATCGAGGACGGCTTCGCCAGGAATGGCGGTGGCAGACTATTGTGCGGCGGTGCAGAGATCTTGGGGCTCAGCTTGGAGGGGGTGCCAGTGAACGCGGGGACGGGGTAGACCATACCCGGCTGGGGTGCCAGCTGGTCGTAGGGTTCGTCGTAGGGCTCAATGCCCCACTCCTTGAGCTCCTCGATGTCCTTGCGGTACTGGATGTGCGGGTGGGCGTAGTCGTAGCCCTGGAAGTCCTCGTCGAGGATGTAGGGAGGGGGGTGGTCGTATACGTGGGAGGGTGGGGGATGGTCGTAATAGACTGGCTTGGATACGGGAACTGGCACTGGCACGGGGATGTGGTGATGATGATGGGCAACCTGCAAGAGAAATTCGAGTTAATGTACAATGTTACGGGATTTATCGTATGGCCTGTTGCTTAAATCAATTAGTTTTTAGCTCTAAAAAACGGTACTTTTACGAATTTTCACTCCTTTTTTATGTTTATATTTGTATTCGTTGCTCGTGTGTTTTTTTTATAAAACCCGCAATTTCCGAATCAAAAGAAAAATGTTTATGTTTGTACAATGTTGACGTAATCAAAACGTGTGAGATCGGATGACATAATGCAAATTGTTGGAGTCATGATAACATGTAGACTCAGTTGTCATGTTTCGCACAAATTTTTAAGTAACGATAGCACTAACTGGTTGAGAAAAAACTTATTTTACAAATTGGTCATTTGATTTTTTAAACGAATTGTAATCTTGTATTAAATACGTTCTCGTTTGTAAGAAAACTGGTTTCGATTACATGCAGTTGAAAGAGATTGACCTGCATTATTGTTCAGTATAATAAATCATTCTAATTTATTTAATTGATCGATAATGCAAATTGTTGTCCATCAAAATCAATGTAACTCACTTTTTTTAATACTGAATAAACCATTATCTGCACCCTAACACTTATTACCTTATAATATCACAAACATCACTGATTATACGCACATTCAAGTATATCATTATTATAAATCTTAATAATCACCCAAGTCATCCAAGCAGCTGTTTAACGGGTATCCACGACACTTTTACTACGCAGTTTCAACAATGTCCATTTCATAACTAAACAAACAGTAGTTACTTACCCATGACTGAGTAACTCGTTATTACCGACTCCTTTGATAGTATCGAAACTATAATACGCGCGTATAACTGTAAACGAAGAAAGAAAACCAAAGAAATAAAATGTAAATTTTGCACATCGTTCTCTATAATCCGAGGCTCTCGTTATCCGGGTTTATTGCACCAGAGCGCACACGCGCTTTACAGTCTCTGCACGGACTCGCGCAGGAAATGCGGCCTCTGCACTTACACGTGAGCGCGTGGCTATTCCCCCCCCCCCTCACAAGACTCACGTTTGAAATGACGTAATTAAAATCGGAAATTTGTAGAGAGTAAAAAAAAGAGGGATCTAGAATCATCGTCTCGTTCCACTGAACACACAAAAACGTCACCGACAAACAGCAACGCAGTCATGGTAAGGTGCAGCGCATCCGTTTCTCACCTTGTGCTGGTGATGGTGGTATTTCGTCGCATGGCTGCTGTAATAGCTCGAGCAGAGCTTGAACACGTGGCCAAACGCAGGAATGAGAAACAGTAGCAGCTTGAGGAACAGCTTCTTGGCCGCGCCTACGCCGAAGAGGAACGGGATCACGAACATGAACTTGAACTTGATTATTTTTATCACCAGGATGATGAGCAGTAGGGCCGTGAACAGCTTTTGCTGGATGTGCTTTTCTGGAACGAAAAAATCGGTAAAAATGGCAATCCATGACGAATAAAATTTCTGAATTGGGATACTCTTTAGGCTGAATGAAAAAAAAAATTTATGTGTATCTTTATCCGAGACACACTGCACAAACAAGGACCTTTTCCGTGGCACAACTAAAAAGTTATAAATCAGATTTAGATTACCAATCAACTGAGTAAAATCGTGACGTTGAGATTCATGACATAATTAGAAATCAGTTCAGCTGAACGTAACTATAGGATACATCATCATGCATCCGACATACACTTACGTGAAAGTCACGTAGTTCGAGAAAAAAAAGAATATCGTAGATATGCACAAGAGATAAAAATTAAAATTAAAAAAAGAATCTAGGGCAACGACTAATAAAATATTCCAATTGAACAGCTATATCTATATATTATGTGTGTAAGCAGGGACTTTCGATACCACAGCCGGCGGCAAGGCGCGACAACACGCAGCGTGCCAGTGGGTCAAGCGCAAACGAATCAGGTCCTACTGCCACGTGCGTACAGACACACCTGCCTGAAGAGTCGATGGTAACGGAACTTTTTTTTTCGGGAACGACAAACACTTACTGATCTTTTTAATGAAAAACAGTCGTCCCTGCTGCTGCTCTTCGATGGCCCGCATGTCAAAGTCGATCCTAACCAGAGCCCCCCTTTCGTCGATCTCGCGGGGACTGATGTTAAAACCAGCCCCCGACCCAATGAACCCCGGCAACTGAATCCGATAGTCCCTGGTGGCCAAAAACTTGATGGCCTTTTCCCTCAGCGCGTGGGTCACTTCCTCCAACGGAGACAGGTGCTCCTCCTCTTCCTCCTCCTCGTTGACCTTCGCCCCCCGACCCTCATCGCTTCCACCGTCATCCTCCACGAGATTGCTCTTCAGGTCACTTTTGACGCAAGCGTCGTAGTCCAGGTTGTTCCTGACCAGACTCAGGCCATCAAAGACGGTGATGTTCCCCGGGTCCAGCAACGTGTGGTCCAAGTACTCGTAGGCGTTCTTCTGGATGCAGGAGAAGGTCACCTCCTTGCGGCAATCCTTGATGATGCCACTCCACAACTCGTTGTCGGTCTCGTTGAGGGCTCCGAAGCCCAGCCACCTCGTGTAGTTTTGTATCCTCGCGAAGTCAAGGATCTTTGCCTCGGCGATGACCACCAGACAAACGAGCACCACCGCGCCTCTGTACATCCTTGCTCACGGTTCTCCTATCAGTCCAGGGACAACCAAAGGTCCATCACCCAACTACGCACCCAACACGAAATTCCGCCCCCTAAGCTCCGGGATCCACTAGTAGTTTGCATAAGAAGTGACTATCGCTCGAGGCTGAAATTAAAGAGGAACGAGTTTCAGAGAACTAGTCCTGGGCTTACTCTCTTTAATAAATAGGATCCACTTACATCATCGGTTCGACGATCCTGTGCTCGACAGCTGTCCTCTCGCGACACATCCGAGATGGTGGCCTGACGCACTTTAGTACAACACGTGTTGCCGGCAAGTAACACTGTGGATCTATCGCCACCTACGATTCATCTCGACGGGAGGAGACAAGATAGAGTATACAGAGAGGAGGAGAAAGAGACACGCGCGAGTGCCTCGTGCGATCTCCGGGCGAGAACTAAGCCAAGAGCAGCGCAGAGGAGCAGTAGAGTATACGGAGCGCCGGCTGTACGAGGGGGGCCTCCTTGGCCGCAAGTGTGTCAGTGGCCCTCCTACTCCAGCGACCGGCTGCTGCTTACCCGCCGGCCGGGAAGGCCATTATCGTCGGGCCATCCCGCTCGTCCCTTCGCCTCCTTCTTCCTTCCTCGTCCGCGCGCATAACAGCTGCGGGAACTGGCAAACAGGTTCGAGCACGTGCTCGCCTCCGTTCCTTCGTGCTTGGAATCGGCAAGTGCTGCACAAGTGGGATCGGTAAGTGTGTACACTTATGTGTACCTATGTCGTTTAAGGAAGGGATGGCACATTTGTAGATCCTTGTCTCAAGGGAATGGGAATCGTCGATCGGTATAGACGAGTCGATTACTCCGTGATGCGAGTGCGTGTCCGTCTAACGATCGGTATCGTCGCGAACGGCGAAAGTGACGCGTAGTATCGTTGTTTTTGCGTATACCGAGAGAGATAATAATATGACATTAATTTTGTAATGGATATATTTATCGGTACCAATTGCTTTTCATTAGATAACGCGATCAACCGTGGAGGGCTCGGATTTACTGTCGTAGCTCGGTTCTCGGTTGTACGCTGAGTTGGGTAAGTATACAGTTGTAGGAGCCGAGAAATAATTACAAATCGGGGCCTATAAGCGTTTGTTGCCCTAGAACGTGCAATTAGGGTCTCGGGGTATAAAGACTTTGCAGTATTGCTTTGCAATTAAATTAATAAAGCTCGTAGTGTCCCCCTTGGAGTGCGAAATTTCGCGGTGATTCTCTAAATTAACACCTGCGCGATCATCATCAGGGTCACGAGAAAATTCTATTATACGTGAAATAGAACTTCCCAACGACTGTCCAACCACCGAATCATCGATCGGTGGTCAAAGAATACCGATAGACAGCTGGTTTTTAAATTAGAACCGGGTCTCAGTGGCCAATATGATATTTCCGAACTGTTGTGCAAATAATAGTCCACTTCAAAACTGCCATTGTCTCTCAACCACGGAACCAGGCTCTTTAAAGCAATAACGTCAACGTGTGGAATGTCATTCAAAGGAAATTACCTGCTTCGTGAGTATGATATTACGGGGTAATAATGCATTTATTCTCGTGCGATTTTCAAAGATAAACAAGAGCCTGTAGAAGCCGCGAGGTCGTCGGTCATCGTAAAACCATAACACCAGCTCTGCATTGTGATCGGCAGTCGTGAGCTCGCGGGAATCCTGAAAACCGCACGAAGCTCTTCGCCCTGGAAATATGAATAACATAACCGCGAGTAAGTGTGACGAACGTGAGGAAATTCTCTCGGTCGCGGGTATGTATGGAAAGCGGACGAGTCGAGCACGAAATATGCCATAGTTGGGTGATAGATATGGACACACACACATATGTGTTAGATCACTCGGATGAGCCGATTGTGTTTGGTGCACGCGTTGTCCAATTAGAAAGCGCTCCGCTTACCGCACAAAGATTAACGGGACCCGCAGGATTCTTCTATCTGTGCTCTTCGTATCATTTTTTTTCCAACGACCAAACTCGATTGTTAACGATGGTGGCTTTGAACGAGAAAAAAAAGAAGAGACATGGGGAGATTTCTTTTTTTAAGGCAATTGGCATAACTTGGGGTTTGTCTGTTTGAGTGCACTAAGGATATTGTTTGCAATGACAATGACATTGTGCGGGATAACTAATGCGTGTGATTTTTTTTTTATTCTTGAAAGAGATTATACTTTACATTTTGTTTAGTGGATCTGTCAATGGAATTCTGGTGTGGGCGTGACGACCAGAATATCAAAAGTAGAGTGCTTGTTTGGAGACGAAAATTCTTTTTCATTTCAGCAGCAACGAAGCCGAATATGTATAAACAACGCGTGAAAGTTAAAGCGACGCACTTTCTGTGAACTTGTTTTCGAGAACAACTCAAAAAGTCGTCCATTCGCTGGATGTTTGTACTGCTGAGGCTTTGAAAAAATCAAGATCTCAGATCATTAATAAGACTTCATCTGATAAAGTTAGAACATTGCTCAGGATTAAAAATTTTCCAAACCGTAATCTTAAGTATACGGCCCCTCCAATGAACCACGTACATTAATTGTCATTAAATTTATCAGAGAAAGATCCTTTGAGGATTCATGGGGAATGATGTAACATTAAGTGCTTACTACTCTCCAATTAATAACGTAGACTAATTAATACCTTGATGATGTTGATCAATGTAAATATTCTTTCAATTATTTACGTACACCCACACAATAATAATGGCTAAACATCTAAAACTAGGAATAAAGTAAATTCCATAAACAATTATTTAAACCCACGAAAAATTTTTTTTTTTTCTTATAACGGATAATTGGTTATTTCATTGATATTATAGTCACATTAAAAAAAATTTCGTACATTTTTTGTCCAAACTCCACATTATATGATACTGGAATTTTGAATGTAACTACCTGTCCAAAAATTACTCTTCCACGCACGTAAAATCTTTCTTCAATGAATTATAATGCAGTCGGTACGACTGTAGAGACAACAACATAAAAAAAACAAAAACATTGATTCCTGAATGAGAAATTAAAAGGCGAACGAGCGGAGAGGCGCGTGCGAGAAGATATAGAAGCGGACCGCGTTGAATTCCATTGACCTAGAATCGGTCAAGCTGGTAGGTAGGCTGGGTCTCTCCTCCTCTCAGTCGCTGCTTCTGGAGCTCTGCGACTGGAATCTCGTAATGATGTTTTTGCATGTAATGTACCCTTTTTTTGCCAAGTGATGTGCGTATAGAGACGAGAGGAGGGAAGAAAAATTGCAAGCTTTCATAACTTAGGTGTTGACAAAGAAGCATTTCGGTGCTGTCGAATGTTGGATCTTTTTTTTTTCGCACGAAGAACGGGAAATTGATATTTATCGAGATGACCGACGAAATGATTACCTCTTGTCATCATTAAATTTTAGCAGGGTCATTGTACATTTCTTTGGGCCCGAAGTTTTTTAGATGAGAATCAGAGGAGTTTTTTTCTTTTTTGTTAATTATTAGAGGCAGTGGGCTAATTATCATGAATTTCTAGAGTAAGGCACATTAAGAATTGATCGCTACGAGCATGCATTAAAATATGTCAAATTCATTCACAACCAACATTTACAGTTAAACAACAGTCGATCGGAGATCCAAAAATTATAGACCCACTGGATAAGCATCGAAATTCAACGGGTCACGTTGTAAACGTCTCTCTGTCAAGAAAAAAGAGAAATAATAAAATAAAACCGAATAAACTAAAAGCTGTGATGGTAGTTACTTCAAAATTTCTTGACTCGTTGCTACTTACCATTATTCCATGCACGAAATGGTGAATGGACTTGCAGCCATTTACAATTTTATTTTTACCGCTCCATCGTGTCAGTACCTCCCAAAATTTCCGAGATGAGTCGAGACTCCCAGTTTGCCGATTGCGTCTTACGATTGCAAAACTCGGGGCATTTATTTTGTCTGATCTTTTATTTTCATTTCTCGAAATACCTCATACTTATTACTCTTTCAGGAGACTGTGACGAAAATAAAGTCCTCGTATGAAAATTTTCATTGTCTCCGATGGTTTTAGGTTACTTCTTTTAACATAATTTCTGTACACCTTATTAGATCCGATTATTTTTAGTGTGCACATAATTATTATAAAGGATTCACGTGCTGATGATTTTTGAAAGTGACAAAAGCGATTTACCGAAATAATCGCAAAAAGTTTTTGCTATTCGGTTTACTTTCTCACGTACCGTTAATCATAAAAATCATGTTATCTACTTTATGATAATGGGAGGTGTCAAAAAACAAAAACAATAATAAAAGGTGATATTTTCCTTATAAATGTTATGTAGGTTCTGATAGGACACGAGTTGATTTGTAGTTGTTATAATTTCGAGAATGTGTCAAATTTTCCATGATCCGAGCTTGGTATTGAAAATCAACAAGAAATAACGCCATAACAAATAAAACAATGAAATTCCAAGTTAATACCAAATTCCATCAAGTAGAAACCTCAAATGTTGAATATTTTTGAAACATCACGAGTTGGAAGTACAATAGAGTATCTGACAGAAATCATGTGAAAAAAAAACCGACTAACAGCATCTTCCGCGTCTGAGCCTCTGAACTCATCACCTCACAGTGTGTCGAAGCCCCCATGAAACGCATCGACGTAGCAAATGCAAAATCTTTGAACCAGCATAATTATATCTTCAGCTCTTGGACGACAATGTAGAAAATTTTACGTCTCGTTGCACCTGCCCCGCTGCGACGCTAGACAGTAAGCACACGCGCGTAGACGAGCTCTCAAGGAGGTTAATCGTCCGAGGCGTCGCGAAGGAAAAAACGATGGAAAATAAAACAGCCGTCGGGTCGTATAATTACATAAACTGCATCCTGCGCCCGTACAAGCGTATACACACAAGCATGCACGCAAAGCGCCACACCGAGGTGCTGGAGAAAAGAACGGCGGAGACGACACACAATTGAAGCTCTTCCGCGTTCAAGGAAAGTGAAGCGCCGTCCCG